TGACAATTATGTGATTTTTGTAAAAATTTCTAAATCAATCTTTTTTTCACCGCAAAAAGAAGCTCAAATTTCCTATATTAATTTATGGTTTCCAGTTGACGACAGAGAAACAAGATTTTTAACCAAAATTACAAAGATTCTAAAAATGATTTTAAAAAAGAATTTACATGAAAAATATCCTTGGAGTGTTCTTCTTGATAATAACAAATATTTTTGTCTTTATTAACTTTTGTGCACTTTTTGATGGTATATATATATATATATATATATATATATATATATATATATATATATATATATATATATATATATATATATTTCTAAGAAATCAATGGATTCGACATTATTTCTAAGTATTTTGAATTTCGCGTAGTTGGGCTAGTCACTGTGACTGATTTTCAAGCGCCCCTCCCCCCTCTTGGAAGACTGAAGAAAATTAAAGTCTCTTTTCTTCCTCCATTTTCTACATGTACCAAGACTGAAATAAGCTGAGTAAATATCTGTTTTTCTGTGTCGCAAATTAGATATAGAAACAAAGCGCTTACACACATACCGACGCACTTACACTGATAATAATCATCATGCGAGAAAGAGAGAAGAGATGCAGACAGAGTGAGAGAAGGGAGAAACAAAAAGAGAAATGGAGAGCAAATCTAATTGGACAGTGTGAAAAACGAAAACATGTATTGAGTAATTCAGTTAAGCCTCCTAATAAAGATAAAAAAAATAATGTCGTCGTTCTAGAAAGGGCGTGTTCCACTTGAGATACGAGAACTTACTTCAGGGATCCGATTTCTTCCTTGGTTTGAATTGTTTTTATGAGTAACACACACACACACACACACACACACACACACACACACACACATATATATATATATGAAGAAATATAGTCTTAAGGTGTGCTATATTTATGGGATAAAGTGCTCAATATCAGAGATAGAGCGTGTGTAAATATAAAAGTGAACATAGAAGTCAACACTTAGAGGCGACAGTCTGTTTCATGCTAGATGCAATCGTCAGCTGACGATTGCATATAGTATGAAACAGACTGTCGCTTCTAAGTGTTGACTTCTATGTTCACTTTATATATATATATATATATATATATATATATTATATATATATTTATATAAAAGAAAGAGGTCGTAGTGGTTCCAACGAGAGAAAAGTATGTATATTAAAAAGAAGAGAATATATATATATACGTACTAAAGACTAAAAGTTTTCGACCAACCTCTGGATTTCGAAGAATCGCCGTAAAAATAAGAGTTGTCTACCTTTATCAAAGGGAATTTCCCAACTCTCTTCCGGGAATAATGATAATATCAATAATAATAATAATAACTCTTCCCATGACAAACAAGACGCGTATCCATCTGTGGCTACAGGGTTAAAAGCTGAAACTGAATGTTTTATTCTTGTTGCACAGGACAAATGCTTGCTAACTAGAAATTTCCAAACACACATACTTAAAAATTGTGTTATTCCAAAATACAGATTGCGTGATAAATATCCAGAAACAATTGACCATCTTGTATCAGGTTGCGCAGTATTGGCACGTACTGAATATAAAACATGGCACGACAGAATGGACCACTAAAACCACTGGAAAATCTGCAACGCTTATGGAAAGGAAACTGCAAGAAATTGGTATGAACACCACCCAGACCCGTTTACGGAGATAGGACATGTAACAATTTTATGGGACTTAACAATACACACAGAAAGATCAATCAAATCTAATCACCCTGACATCGTGATTAGACACAGCAAAGACAAAATGTGCCTCCTTATTGACATGGCAGTCCCTACAAACTCCAATGTATCTTTGAAGATCTTCAAATATCTATCAAAATACAAGGGCCTTGAAATCGAAATCTTAAAAATGTGGCACATTAACAATTCCAGTTGTATTTGGAGCCCTCGGATTGATTGGAAAAGATTCTAATCGATTCATTGAAGGAATTCATGTCAATACTTTAAAGAAATAAAAAAAATTATACTCACAAGTACAGCCCACACCTTACGAAGAGATTTATCTATGCAAAATAGGTGCGATTTTTTTTTTCAAAATTGCTCAGTGGAAAATGTCAGGATGCCATTTCTGACCTTAGGTCTCTGGTCCTCTTGTCGGGACCCGGAAAGAAATGTGTATACACCATAAGCCAAAGAAAAGAAAACAATTATAATAATAACCTTTTACTGCATAACTGTATTTTTTTTACTTTTAACACCGTTTATCTAAACTACCCTGCTAGTTAATTTTAGGGTTGTCTGATTTTAAAACTCAGGTAAGCACTTCATAAAAGAAAATAATGTCACGCATTAATTAAATTCATAGTTTCAGCATCTTAGAATAGTAGAATGTATTAGAAGTACTAATTATTAGATCCAGAGCGTGTCCCCAATCTTTTGATATATATATATATATATATATATATATATATATATATATATATATATATATATATATATATCATTCATACAAAAAGTAAAT